ACGTTATTTACAAAGCAGTAGTAGCAGCATTGGCACCGGCTTCTCGGCAGATCTGATCGGAAAAAAATCTGTGCCGGCCACAGCTCCCCTATTGACCACCGAACGAACGCGAATTCGTTCAAGACGTAAGCCGCAAGGTCAGCTTAACAGCTCTTTTTACAACTAAAAGCTTGAGTCTGTGGAAAATCAAGGTCACTGGTTCTTTTCTTTTTTGCAGATGAGCTGAATAGATTTCATCGAGAATTGACGCTTTCGGAAAAGGAATCGCTGCAGCGGGATGATCCGGAGAAAAATTTGCGATCAAAGTATAGTTTTTTGTTGTTAGGCTAATTTTTCAAGACGAACGCGAAATTTTCTTTTTTTGTGATTTATGAAATATTTCTTATCAAGTTTTTCGGTTGATAACTCGGATTTATTGCTTAAACTTCTTGTTTTAATAGTTTGTTTATTCTTTTTTTCCAGCCGATATTATTATGACGGGAAACCAGGACGACCAATGGTAGTTATGGATAATGTTGATGATGTAAGTGAAAAAATTTCCTTTTTTTTCTTTTTTCAATTTTTTGAAATTTTGATAAAATTTACTTATCTTCTTAAGCAGAAATTTTTTGTCAATTTTTTTCTTGCCAAAAAACGACTAGCAGTACTTATGTTCATTCAATGATAGCACATGTAACTTGTGTTTAAAAGGCGGATTTCCGTTTTTCCATTTTTCGTTTTTTTGAAATTTTGGGAGAATTTGCAGATTATTTATGGTCCCATTAATTTGGACGAGAAAAACTTTATGGAGGGAAGTTTCGAGGATGACGAAGTGGTCTATACGGATGCGGAAGGAGTAGTTGGTGAAGCTGGTGGAAGCGGAGCTGAAGTGGATGCGGAAATGCAAAATCAACCGAAATTGCAACAGCAAGGTAAAAACATTCTTTTCTTCGTTACTTTTTCTTGCTTTATTCCTCTGTTCCGTCTTTTTTGTTTTGTTCCACTCAAAAAATCTTACAATTGGATATGGAACCGACAACCTCTTCTACAAGATTTTACATCAACTTTGCTTCATACTTACACACTTAACTTTTTACTTTACCTCTACTGGTTTCAATAACACAATTATTTAAATTAAACTCAAATTCATACTAATTACCACAGTCATCATACTGATGAGGT